GTGTGTGTGTGTATGTGTGTGTGTGTGTGTGTATATATATATATATAGTTTGTGATTATCTTTAGAGAGTGTGTAGAAGATTGGTGGGAGGGTGGGGGATTTGATAGGTGACTGTTTATTTCAAGTTAACTGGAAAGAACTTACTTTTCATCACACACCCTCATTCTATAGTCAACCTCCATTCGCAAGCGTATTATGTGTAGTAGCGGCTCAGTACAGTTATTTAAATACAGCCTTTATCTATACAAAACAATTACAATCTCGGGACATTTGGATACTTAACGAATATGAAGTTGATACGAATATGGCAGTGTATGATCTTTACAGCGACTTCTACAGAAATGTTCGCATATGAAGTCTTCTGTCATAAACACATGTCACTATGACCTCACTATATCAAAATTTGCTCTATCATCATATACATGGCCTTCTGATGTCTATTTCAGAAGTCTGTCATATATCGAATGAAAATGTTCAAGCATGTTAGGCGATAGTAATGTAGCAGCTTATAATGCAAGAGAGCAGTATCTTTATAAATATTTACTTCATGAGACTCCTATATACATAGCCCCTAAAGACACAGGGCTCGCAGAGTCGCAGGAGGCTACTTATGAGTATGTATGTAAATACTAATACAATACATAGATAAATACTATCTATTACTAATAGCATGTATTTATTAAATATGTACTCAGAAGTGTCTAATTTAAAAGGCTTTTTCAGGAGTTACAATGTAAATCATACATATTTTTGTGTTTTTTGTAAAGAAACAAAGATCTGTTTTGGCGCTCAAAAAATATACTCCCTCTCAATTTAATGACTCGCCAATATATTTTGAAAGATTGCATGGCTCATCAGAAGTTCGGAACTCGCCAAACCGTGTGAGATTTCGTCGTGAATTGGGGAGGTGAAGTAGAAGCTGAAGAAAGAAAATAATGACTGTGCTGCGCTGAAAAAAAGTAAATAGATCTTTTCCTTTGTGCGGAAAAGAAATATAAAAAGAAATAAACAAATACAAATGTAAAGCGACTCAAGACAATCATACACGGACGTATACTATAGTACGTTTGCCTGGGCTAGAGTGTAACACCGTCACACCATGAGCGAAACACAAGGTAGGTTTATAATTGAACGTAGTAGCTGTATCAACTGGTTTTCAGACCTTTACATTGATGTTTTCTCAGTGTACTCCACGCAAGCAGCATGTTCTAGGGTACCGTCTTCCACACTTCGATTTAAGCTATATATCAATATCAATGTATATATATATATATATATAGTCTATCTATACTAATCTATACAATCTATGCATATATGTATGTATGTATGTGTGTGTAGTAATAAATATATATATCTATATCTAT